GTTTCATTTTAAGTGGTGACAATTCATGATATTTCAACGGGGCGTAATTCTGAGATATTCCGTGGAATATGGAGCCAAATATTTTCACTATACATGGGGTTACAGAGATGCAGGGCAGCTATCTCCCTAATAATACATAGAATATTTCTCTCTTTGTGGATTTCCACATTTTCAAGAGCTTTCTATAGCTCTTGGCTAGTTTTTCTGAAAAATCTGTTACGTTATCAATATTGGCGCCGTAATGTATACCTGCCTATTTACAAATCGATCTCATGACCAGTTTCCAAGCAACAGGGACTCCTGAACGAAACCACAATTGTGCTGCTGGCTTCTGTTTGTTGACTCCGTCGATTTGTTGTTTCGTCTGCCACCAAGAATAGATTAGAATAGAATAGGATACCTTTATTTATCCAAGAAGATTATACAGTTCTGATATAGGACAAGTCATGAAAGCTTTTAAAAAATTTTTTATCACCAATGACCAATCATCCATCCTCATATGTTCATACTCACATCACAAATCATTTACGGATCCTATGGATATCATATTGTAAATTATACCCATATCGTGTTGGATATGCATTTTGATACACAAAGTCTGACATATTTTGTTTTACAAATTTCAGTATCTCAAAAATGAATGAAAAAGGCTGAGTAAGATTTTTGTTGCAAACAAATGTGGATTTGCATGATGCTCTTTAAGATAACCCAAACATATATCTCATTACCCTCTTTATAGAACAAAAATTCTGTCTGATGTTGAAAATTCTGTCTGATGTTGTAGAGTTACCCCAGAAAATTATTCCATAACATTGTTTTGATCTTTTCAATGCAAACGAGTTACTAGCCTATCTCTAGGGCTATGTCCAAAATTTTTTTCCTAGTTTGCTCAAAACAGTTCTCTCAATATTTCTCCCATCTTAATTCATAAACTGTAAGAAAATAATTACCCTAGACTCAATATACGGGTGTCCCGGGATTACATAGAAAGATTCCAACCACAGATACTAGGAACAAAAATATTTTCAAAAGTTCATATAAACATGGGCCCAGAAATGCCCCCCTTGAGGGGGTTATAGCCATCTGAAGGAAAGCCCGAGACGATGATTTTTTGTGAATTATTTCGAAACCCTCAGTAATAAAATAACCAAATTTGATAATATGAACCTAACTCTTTATGTCCAATTTGAAAAGGTTGAGCATCTTCCGACATTTTGATGAGTGGCGTGGGAAAGAAGAGGGGGGCTTGGGGCACTTCTTCCCCCAACTTCTTTGTCAATGCGATTTTCGTAATTTCGACCAGGACATATAAAAATATCGTTCTATATAAGTACCTTAAAGTGATACTCTTATTTTGTTTCGATAGCACTCACCATTTCCGACATAAATCGATTTCAAAAGTCTGCTGCGTCGAATCTAAACAAGAGAACCATTTTCGGGTAAAAATGATGAAAGTTTCATATTTCTTGGTCAAACTGCCAAAAATTGCATAAACAAAAAGTGGCCCTGATCAAAATTTTGGAAAATTGTTAACATTTTCAAATTGGGCATATCAAGTAACGAACTTTGGTTGTTTCATCACATAGGTTTTTGAAAATATTCACAAAATACCATCATCTCGGGCTCCTTCAGATGATGACTATTATATTGTCGCAACTCAGATGTTGACCCTCCTATAAGTCGTAACTTAGCTACTCGCTTGGCTTTCTGATGAGAGGTTTCGATCATTTCATCACCCAACCCAACATTCATCCCCAAATAAAAAGTCAGGACAGTTTTCATATAAAATTTGATATTTATTGATAACATGGAAAAATCGTGGATGAATGCTTGCCACATGGCAGGTTGGCAAAGAAAAAAGAACATAATGGCTTACCAAATGAAACACAATGCAAAACAACACTTGAAAAACAACTGTACTTACATTACATAGACGTTGTAATGAGGTTGACCAGCAGGATTTAAGTCGGGGAGACGGCGTTACCTTCCGATATTGCTCATCTAGATATTATCGCAAGGTAAACAGTTTTTTTGGATATTTTAATTTGGAAAAGTTAATTTATGATGAAAGATCTTGAAATAGATGGGAGTTTGAGTTATGTTAATTCATAGGCATTTGTACTTCTTGACAATATCTTGACCCATGTTTATATGAAGTTTTTTCAACTAATTGTTCCTAGAATCAGTGGCTGGAAACTTTCCATGTGAATTCGGGACACCCTATATACCAAGTACGAAAATAAAGAAAAATATACGAAAATATTTATTATATGTCACGTATATAATTATAATTTATTGAGTAGGTGACAAAACAAATTCAGAAGCGAAAAATCATCAACGATTCATCATTTCTACAGATAGAAAATGCCCTGTGTATTTGTATTCCAGAGAAAATAAAGATGAAGTCTATTTACCCAATATCGAAAAATTATACGACAGTCTCTATGACGTAAGGCAATAAGAATATTCAATCTCGAAACTTTCTGAAAGTTATAGGCGATTTGTTAGAAAGACAATTCGGGATTTATGGATATTGATTCTACGTGCTTCCACCAAGTATTATAAAAATCGAGCAACTTTTCCCAACTCTTGGTGTACCAATCAATCATTATTGGCTTACGAAGTATCTATTAAATATTTATGTTGCTTTCGGATATATTGAATTCAGTGTTCATTTCATTTAATTGCAGCATGGCTCAAAAAGTCAGTATAAAAGCTCATGATTTGAAATGATCGTAAAATTATAGATAAAAGTAGATAAGCTATGAGGATTTTGGGACCATTTGGTCAAAATTGAACATTCCATTGGTGAAAACACAATGTGCTGTACAGGGCGTGGCCATAGTGAAGCGAGATGATACGTCAGTCAAATTGAACCTTCAGAAGAGAAATATATTCTGCTCCAGGATATCTATAGCTTATCTACTGATAGATGCGTAATTAAGTTCCAGAATCAGACTATGAACAGTGTCATTCATGAAGTTGGCATCATATGGGAAAACTTTTGATGAAAATTCATTTTAAAATTCGACATGGCCATCAAGTTTTGCTTCAAAAATGACTCGGTTGCAGTCACGTGACTTGCGCTACATTTCAAGAGTTGCATTGTTTGAAATTAATCACTGGAAATAGACTTATCTGTTCGAATTTCGGAGTACTTTACTCTGAGAAAAAATGTTTCCATTCAAATTGCATATATGTATTTCGAATTTGAACGTTATATTGCAACTTTTAGTTCCTGATATTTTTCATTTCTGCTAGTTGTAACTTCGACAGAACTGTCCCAAACTTTGATTTTTATGTTGAAATGGTAGTAATAATTGTGTCGATATATGGTTCCATATTCATCAAGTTTCGACTTATGGAGACATTGTTCGCAATCTCGAAGTAGCGATACACAAACGAAATAATGACTACCATTTTGACATTCAAAATGTCCAGAATACGTTAGAAGTGAGCTTTTTTCCTACACTCATATAATGATGATACAAAGTTGAGGTGCTGCCATATCAGTTATTTATGTATCAAGGCCAGTGTAAAATAGGCTTTTATGGACCGAAGAGCCCGAGCGACAGCGATAGGACTATCATCGATGTAATCAACGTTACCATGGTAACAGTCATATTTTTGAAATAGAGTTAGACTTTAATATTTGCTATCAATTGATGTCATCATAGATGACTTGTTTTGAGTTCGATCATATCCTTTTGCATCTCATTAATATCAGGAGAACTGTTATACTGGATAATGAACCATCACAAATAAATCATAAATGTCCTGAACTTTACAGGCATGCTTATTACAAAGTACCTTCACGCCGGGCGGTACAGTAGTCAGCGGGCAATAACGGGCCACTTTACGTCAGCAAAACCGGGTCGTGAAGTGCTACTTTACGCCTGGTCGAGCATAAACATAATTATGGAAATTGACATCTATGCATGCGCCTTCCGTTACGATGACAATGACGACTCGGACTTATTATAAGGACAATCCGTAAACGTTGTTTTTTGCTAGGTTTTTGCACATCAAGATCTACGTCCAGGTACACTCGTCGTCAGAGAACATGTCGCATGTGGATGGTGTCAGCTCTCTTAATCATCTCATTCTCACGTCTACATTGCGCAAAAATTGATCTCATGAATTTAATATCTTTCACGAGAAATACAAGAGTTTTGTTTTGAGCAACAATTTATATCTCAAACGTTGACATATTATTAGATAATTACAGATTGCTCAATGCAACCGGAGAGATCTGTTTTTTTTTATTCTAAAGATTTGTCACTAAACGCGGTGATTAAATAGATACAAAGACACAGAATATAATTTCGTGAATTTGTTCATAATTGAAATTACGATTGAAATTTATAGGAGAAGTATACTTGTATAACCTCTGATCTTGATGAGCTTGAAACTTAAAAAAAAACAGGTTATATATGACTTTATTCGAATCAACTCACTTCGGATTTCAAACCCTCATTAGTAACCTGGAGTCCATTTATTCTTTCAGCCATTCTTCATAATATACACGATTTTCATCTCTTCATAATATACCAAAGCCTATAACGAACTGAATCTGAGAATTATTTGTTGACATTCAATCCCTGTCATCTGTTTGTTTTGATATTACATTGTTTGAAAAAGGTGAGCGTTTCGTACTAACAAATCCGCACGCAATTGACCCATAATACCAAAAGTAACTCGCACGCAATTGTCCTATCCATTCTCTACTACTTGACAAATTTTCTGAACGCTGTGCTCAATTTTCCGTTGCCCAGAATTATCCGAACCGTAAAACAACACAAGATTGTCAAGAGTTAGTACCGTAATTTTACTTACTTTTATAAATCAACTTTATTTCGAAAGGTTCGTAAGATGCTGAACTATTATCAATATTTCTAGCTATCACAATCTGCGAAAATTCCATGTACCATGTAAATTTCTCGTAGCTCGTTTTGTTCTCATTATATTACATTATAAACTTGACTGAATGTTTATTGTGTATGATAAGAAACTATATCCTCCGAACATTCAATTCATTTCCAGGGACTGGCTTAGCCACGAGCCTCAGCTCCCATGCTCTGGGAGAATGCAGTCCTCCCATATCTCCGATAACGATGTCCCACACGACTCCCAGCATTTACCCCGGCATGAACACCTCGGTAGGACACAACTCGTACCACGGCCTGCAGAGTGGTACCACCAATCTGACAGGCACTTACCTACCATCCAATCCTGTCAGCATCGGTGGCTACAACCCTACTTCCAATCAGTACTATAGCTTGGGACACCAGTATTCGAACAAGAACATGATGGGTACTACTATGAACAGCTTGACGCACCATCCCGTTGGCATAGGCACTTCGCTGGGGCAGACCAGTGTTCTAGGTGAGTTAAGGTTCTTAATCAGTGTACAGTTCATTTTGAAAGTTGTTGTATGAAGTACAATGACAACAAAATCCAAATTGAAAATATTTTCATTATTACACATCTTTCAAAAGTATTGATGAACGTGCATTGATTCGGTTGTCAACCTCCGCAATCAATGATCAAAAAATCGATTCAACAATCATGAGCTGAAACTGAAAAAATATAAATAGCTCGAAGAAATTTCCACAAATGTTCATGAACCTCCAAACATAACGCCAATTGACAGTCATATGCCCGGAACCACCTTTCGCCAACGTACTATAAGGAAGATTTTATTGGGTCTCAACACCAACAAAGCTTGTGGCTCCGACGGAATCCCACCGATTGTTCTCAAGAAATGTGCTCCCCAACATACACCTGTTCTCTGCAAGTTGTTCAACAACTCTTACAAATTGGGAATATTTCCGTCCAACTGGAAAATTGCAAGAGTACAACCAGTTCCTGAAAAAGGCAAAAAGACCCTACCTAGCAACTACAGACCGATCGCACTGCTATCTATTATTTCAAAGAGCATGGAGAAAACATTCAACATCGAGCTCATGAAATACCTGGAACATTCAGGCATTATCAACGATAGGCAATATGTCTTTCATCATCAGAGATCAACTGGTGACCTGCTCGCTTACGTCTCACATATATGGCAGCAATCTATTGAAAAATATGGTGAAACCTTAGCCGTGTCACTTGATATCTCCAAAGCATTCGATCGAGTCTGGCACCACGGACTCCTCGCCAAGCTTCCGTCTTATGGCTTGCCTCCCCAGCTATGTTCTCTGTTAGCTAGTTTTTTCTCCAACAGGTCTCTCCATGAAGTGGTCGACGGAGTTTCATCTGACTCTCTTACCATGAATGCTGGTGTTCCGCAAGGATCAATTCTAGCACCAACACTATCTCTACTCCATATCAACGATTTGTTGAAAGCAACTTTTTGTCCAGTACACAGCTTCGCGTGATGATAGTACCCTCCATACCGCCCTTCCAGGGCTCCGATACCAGCCAGGCAAATCAGAAATGGACGAAGGAGAAATGTTGACAACATAAATATGGACTTAGCAACAATTCTCGAATGGGGATCCAATAACTTGGGGTAGATTTCAATGCAAACAAAACACAAGCATGCCTTTTTTCTTGGGAAAATCACGTGAAATCAATTGCTAAAACTGCATCCCAAAAACTTGGTTTTCTGTTTCGGGCCAGGAGCTATTTCACTTCCAGTCAGCTGCTTATGATCTATAAGGCACAGATCCGACCTGTCCTGGAATACTGTTCCCATATTTGGAGTGGAGCGTCCAACAAACATAACCTGAAACTGTTGGATTCTGTCCAAAAAAGGGCAATTCGTCTCGTGGGTGATGTCTCGCTCACAAACTCACTCACTTTTCTGGAACACCGTGGAAAAGTTGGCGATCTGGCTCTATTTCATAGATCTTTTCATGGACGATGCTCTTCTGGAATATCAACAATTGTATCTCCCGTGGCAGTTCCACGATATTAACCCGTCGAGTTGAGGCTTCGCACCCCTTCGTGGTCACTTTGGAGACCTGCAGAACATCTCTTTCCAGAGACTCGTTCCTCCAACGAACAGCGAGGCTCTGGAACATTGCCAAGGGAGGTGTTCCCCGAGGCATATTACCTCCAGAAATTTAAGAAGAACATCAATTCCTACCTTATTTCCCTTGGTTCTTACAATGTTCTCTGAACATTACAGGATATCCCTTCTCGTGGGAACCAGAACATAGACATAGACAAGACGAATGAGATAGCAAATGTTTCTACAAACAGGTTTTGAGCTTTTGGCTCTCATCAGTACGGGGGTGTCCTCAGATGTCATTCATGACCGCCATCTGGTGCGAACCTGCTGACCCAACGTAAACACATTAACTATACTATTGAATGTCCTCTTTTTCCATTTCCATGTAAGTAAGTAAGTACTGAGTGATTATTGCATCTATATCCTAAGTCAAAAACGATTTTCCTGGAACTATGATACTTTCTATCGGCTGATGATGGACTTATATAAGCCCGAGACATGTTCCGTTACGATCGATCTTCGATCATTCTGATAAAAGTTGTGGAGAGGACTTTGGGTTTCCATCTATGAACTACACCACTCCACTTTGAGTTACCATGGACTTCCTCCAAATATTGAAAAATGAACTTTCAGTTTTCATGCATTGAATTCAACAAATTTCTATCTTTTCAACCATTCTTTTTCGTCTTCCTCTAGGTACTTCCCTACCGTCGAACCTCCCAACTATCGGTACCAGCGGTATGAGCACCCTCCCCTCCGCAATAGGCACCTCCATGGGCCCCACCAGCTACACGCAAACCGCCCTGCCCCCCTCCACCTACTCCAACCCCCTGTCCTACAACAACCCCTCCTACAGCAACCCCAACAACCCCTCCTACGGCAACCCGGTCGGGGGCGGACTTGCGCAGTTCGGGCTGCCCTACGGCCAAGTGGGCGGCAACGCGGTCACCTCCAGCTACGCCAACAACAACGTGACCTTCTCGAATCCGCTGAGTTCGAACTTCAACAGTCTGCCCCTGGGCGGGGGGGCGATGAATGTGAAGTTGAAGCAGCTGGAAGACGTGGATCTCGGTAATGTACTAAATTATAATATTAATAGTAGAATGTACGTACTTTTCCACCACTAGCTATGGAACTTATCATTATGTATCTCTTTTCAAGGTGTATACAGGGTGTCCGGAAATTATGCGCAAAAAATCAAGGGGGTGATTCTACATGATGGAATAAGAAATTCATTTTATATGTACGTGGGTCCGGAAATGCATTAAACTTTTAAAAAGATCGGTTTTTATATGAATATCTCAAATGTCCTTCCAGCGATTTCCTTGAAATTTGGCAATGACATTTTTTGAACGATGAACAAGAATTTCTGTCATTTCTATTTTATGAGTCAGGCGACTTGCCTCATATTTTTTAATGACTGAATTTGATGAGTTTGATGATGATATTCAAATGCGGAAACGGCAGAATAGCGCAGTGGTTGAGCGCTCTACTAGTAATTAGAACGCCTAAATGTTGCTAGGTTCGATTCATGGCAGAGTAGAGAATTTTTATTTATAAAACGAGATATGAATTTTGATTTTTGTTGCTTTGGCCGGATATGATTCCGCACGATTCGCTATCAATTTACATTGCTGAGGGACCTCTCGTAAGGTGGATGGCCAGTTGGTATACCAACGAAGTAAATATACTTACTTACTTACCTTATCAAATGCAATGAATAAACATCAGTATGGTGGAAACATGATACACCAGTGCCGGCTGAATTATAGGCAAACGATTACAATATGTCATACAATGGGCCAACGTTTGACGGATGCATCTTGGCCATGGCTAGCAATCTGCCGATCTATCATGTACTGGGCCAGAAGGCGACCAGAGATTTGATGTTTGCTGGGTTGTGCATGGCTTCTGTGTTCCTTGGAAAAACTGATGTGTCTGAGTGTCTGGTGTTGAACTTGGAGCAACATCTTTCGCACGAGCTCTGGGAGGTCAGGCAAATTGATTAATCAACAAATAATTCCGAAAAACCCCTAATAAACTCGATTTATTCTTGTTATCATCATCATCATCATCATCATCATCATCATCATCCTCAAGTAGCGATGACTTGGTTATTTCAATTTGACGTGTCAACATTCGATTCGATATCAACGGCGCCACTGACTTCTTGGGGGCGTGTCCTCGGTTGCTAGGTGACAACACGCTGGCTTATACACTGAATAGTTTATGCGAAGTCAATTGAAAAAGCCGAAAAAAAATTTAACCGGCTGCATGTTGATCTTTAGTTGATGTTCGGTGATGTTGGCAAATCCTTCGACAAGCCGCAGCTAACAGCGGCGGGTAAAATATTTTTTTCGTTACCACAAATAAAAGCTGTTTTTAAATGAATTTTTGATTGTTCAAAAATTACCTATATATTCATTTTGGAACATGAAAATATGGTGGTATAGCTCATTTTAGTTAATGATTCCAGTATTCTCTTCACGAGTTGGTTTTCTGAGGAATCATCATTCTCGACCTTGAGACGCGAATAGATATTCGGAATTACTGTTTGCGTTTGAAAAAATTACCGTTTGCGTTTAAATGTGTAAGTGTTTATTCGCGAGCTCCGCTTGCTCTACCTCCGAATCACTTCGTTGACTTCCTCGAAAGGCCTCCAGAACGTCATATTTTAATTGCGAACCAAAAAACAAAACCACTATGATTGAAATAATGAATTTTCTGAATTTCTGAGTTGAACATGAAGTCAACCTATCTCCGTCGCATTACCGTACCGTACCGCACTGCCTAGCGCAGGCTGGAAGATTCTTATCATACAGAAGGCCGCATATTCAACTCTGACCAATCAACATTCATAATAGTTTGGAGTAACCAATCAGACGCAGTTTCTAGCATGACAACGCTTGTTCAGTCCTCGTTGACTGCACATACTGCATACCGGGAAAGCTTAGTAGGACATATCTCATTTATTCCTAATCCAATGTTAAGCAAATCGACAAATCCTTGTATCGTCCTTGAAAACGGAAATCTTGTCAACTGACTTCTCATAAACTATGTGTCCAAATGCCGAATTTGACTCTGTAGGTACGCGCCGCGTAGCCACCCCCGTTACCCCTCATCCACCGCCATCGTGGGGCGGTACCGCCTCCTCTGGCATGACGGATATGAGGCCGAGGATGCTCACTGATGGCATGGAGGCGGACTGGGGCGGCGTTCATGGCGCCGACAGGAACTACTTGAACGGGCACAACCAGATGAACTCTGACGGACAGGTGGACATGCTGGATATTCCAGGGAAGGGCAGGTGTTCAGTTTATATTGCCAGGTGAGGTCAAATTCGATGTTTGGTACCTCTCTCGGGAGAAAGTAAGAACAATTTTTTATTTCCTGATAAGAAAGAAAGCCCAAGTTATGTTGTGTACCCCGTAATTATAGGTACCTACTGCAGAAAATAACATACTTTATCTACAACTATGGATTCATTCATACATTATAAATTGGTAACTCGATTCTGAGCATTTAATGTCAGACATTATTGTGAGTAATAAGAGTAATAATGACAGTAGGAAGGCGTAATAATCTGACATCCCATCGTCTTGTCAAATTCAACTAGGTAGGTATTCGTTTGTGAAATACACGCAAATTCAAAAGAGATTAATTTAATAGGTCTGAATAATATTTTGTGAAGAATACAAATCACATGCACACAGTTTAGTCACAGTTATGTTACACTTTCAGATTTTCCTATGAACCAGAACCCGATTCTGAGGAGGAACTGACCATTCAAGCGGGAGATTATCTACTTGTTTGGGGAGAACCAGTAGGCCCCGGAGGATATTTGGATGCTGAGTTATTGGACGGAAGGAGAGGGCTAGTACCATCTCACTTCGTCCAGCGTCTCATTGGTGAGATGATCAGAAATATACATATAGAATGCATGTCTTATAAATGAAAATCCTGGCAAGTATTGAAGTCGTATTTTTTCAAACCATACATAGAACATTTTGAGTCAACTGTAAAGAATAGTGAATCGGAAGCTATACATAATATTACGTTTACTCCAATTAACTGATCTTTTCTGTAGGAGCTGCGTTTTTTCGGAATCACCAAGAGTATTTTTTTCTAGGCGATGACCTCTTGGAGTTCCACCAGGCAGTCCTGAGCACTTTGAGGGAGGAAGAGATCAACCAAGAAAACTTTGCTGCAGACGTTCAGAGACTGAACGAACTGGCAGAAATGGCGGAAGCTCATGAGGATGATGGTCCAGAAGGTGAGACAGGTAGGCATTTTTTGCATGTGTTCATTATTCTCATTTACATCTCCACAAATGTTCAAAAAGTTCGAAAAAATTTCATACCGGAATATCTACTATATTTTCATGTCATAGATAGTTAGATCGAAACAAAAAAGCATTGATGTTCAATTTCTTCTAGACTTGGATCATCGTAGCTTAGCTTATATCATCCACATAGTTTGAAAACTATCAGAATGTTGAAATTTTTGATTTTTATAAAATATCGGACACTCAGTACAGGTACATCAATGTAAGTAAATGTTATCTGCCAGTATTTGGACGAATATAGAGCCTTAGCTTTTTGAACAGTTTATAGATTATCTAGTTGTTGTTGTTGTTTTTGTTGTTGTTTGTTAGATACCCAATAGTCCAAAGATGTTTCTTTTTAGTCAGCTCGAGAAAATGTTAGGTAGGAACTAAAGATGAAGATCATTAGGATCAGTTTACATGAATTAATCGTAGTCACATCTAGTAACTTCTGTTTCAATGAACAATTGGACATTCCCATAGACCTATTAAGGTCTATGGGCATTCTACTGTTCTCTAATATGAAAATATAATTTTTATCATGAGATCGACTGAGATATTGTTGAATATACAAATAAGAACTGAAAATCAAGAGAACTCAACCAGACGAGCATTAAATTAAGTTATTTAAAATTATTCATGTGGAAACAGGAAATATCCAAGAAATATTGCCACAATGTAACAATATTGAAGTTGCATTCGCAGTCATCCAGAAATATTTCATAAAAAACGGATTTGTATGTTGAGATTCCAATACATATTTAGAAATGCTGCTGCAATGTCATTTTATATGCTATTGAGGTTCATCGACGAATTCATTCTCAATCTCACATACCGTTATTAATTGATGCTTCTCAAATAAATCATGCAATATTGTATAATTTTCATGCAATATCTAATAATGTTGCAGCAATATTGACATGCAGAGACCAAAATGTCGTTCATGACTTCGAAACAAAAATGATGGTTGATGAATATGATACGCTGAGTACACACTTCTTTCACCAATAGATGCACTAATGTAGTTTTTTGCACGATTAGATCACGTGGTACTGAATTGGTATACCTCATTGGTATTTCTATATTTCCAAATATCAAATTCCTCAAATATAGATTGATTATTGCATATTATTTCTGCAATATTGTTTGAAACTGATTTCTAATATATGCAACATTCAATGTGAAATTATAGAGCGGAGATTTATATCTGCAATATTCCTGGAATGTTGCATCAATGTTCTTCAAGAAAATAAAAATTCCTCAACTATTCTTATTCTTCTAAAAAAAAACTGTGCTGTATGAATAGTGAATATTTATTTCTAAATAATCATAGAACAGAATATCTGTCATATACTTTTCCACTTTTCATGATAGGTACTCTACAAAAAGTATATATATAAGGTGTTTATCAGAATTAACATCAACATAGCATTCAGAAAAATTGATTAAAATGTTAATATACTAAAATAGTTGCAAAATGCGAATTATAAATATCCCTTTCTGCTGAAGATTTGAATTGATCAGGAAGAGTAGTTACTTACGTCATTTGACATGTTTGAAAATCGCTTTTAGCATATAGTATTGATCCACCTATTGATACAAATTAGATGACACGCTTCGAATTTACATTTATATTCAGGGAGTCCGAGAAAATGTGGAAAATCTATCAGATACAGAGAGAACCTGGAAAAATAAGTCGAAACCTAATAGTAGATTATACCTCGGGTCAATAATTTTTATTCTCAAGCCTTATGTACAAATTACGAATAGGGGACGTATCGAATAATTTTCATCTTTGCGAGTAGTATACTCTACTCCATTCACGACAAATACTCTTGATTAACCATAAAAATGTTGAATAGGGGTCCTTCCTAGTATCCCTCATATTAAACTTTCATTAATTTATATCGAATATTTTCAAAATATTCAGGAAGACTGATTTCTAGCCATATGGAGGACCTGTAAAAAAAGGTTTCATGGGAGTTTATTATATTATTTTTTCTGGTTCGATCTGAATTCAAGAGATTTTACATACTCTTCCAGGCAGCCCGCATAGAGTAGGTATGTTTCACGGCACATATGCACGACACAGACCCTATGTCAGTTTGACAAATTTTATATTCTAGTAAAATGACAAATATGTATGTCAAATTGGCATTGAGGCATCCTACCTCAACATAGGTAATAGTCTAAGGTCTAAGACCTGACAACAAATTTCATTGTCCGATTGATAGATCGATATCTACCTCATTGTACTGCCGTTACATCATTAGGAACTGATCGGGATGTCTGGCAGGTTTTTAGTGGTGGGGGCGGCCGCGGTAAGGGTTTAAAAAAACAACGACACATACGATTGATTGATAGAGTGCTGAATTTTTGTGAGGTGGTAAATGATTGCATTGATTTTTTTTTCAACCCTTAACGGCCATACCGTGCTCGCCTCCACCCCAAAAAACCTGCCAAACATCCCGATCAGTTTTTAATCATGCCACGGTAGTACAATAGATTGAGATACATCGATCTATTAATTGGGCAATGAAAGTGTTTGTCAGCTCCGTCTGAAAAAAATGGAACACCCTATATATTGTCTGGGATTTAGATATAGCAATTTTTCTGATTTCAAAAACATATATGAGTTGCATATTTGGATGAAAATTAATTGAGTTATGGATTATCAAAGTTTACCAAAATACCGAATCTTCCATTCAAACTGTCTTTTCATATTTTATTGTATTGAGATCGAACGATTTCAATCTCATAATAAACGCTATGCCATTTCCATGGAGCTTGAACAATATATAAACGTTATTTCATATCCCATTATATTCAACTTATGAAGTGAAGGTTTGTAATGCGGTATTTTGCTAAATTTTGATCATCAATAACTCAACTATTTTCCATCCAAATATGCAACTCATATATATTTTTAAAATCAGAAAAAAAAGTTCTATCGACATGTCCAAAATTATATAGGGTGTTCTATATAAAAAATCATAGTTGATATCCTTTCTGGAAAAACGAATGACGCTGTATATGTAACAACTTCACGAAATAATAGTCTGAGCCGTTTTACACAACTTTTTCATCCAACATTTTTTCATATCTCTGAGAACGAAAGAGTTAAGGGGAGTTTCCATTTTAAGAGGCGCACCCTGTACATTGGTCCCTCCTTATATTTTTACAAAACATGATGTTACATTTATCTTCATAAGGAAATGAGGAAATGAGGAAAGGATATACCTGTGGTCGTGAAATGTACGTGAAACATGCAAATAATTCAGACTGCTTCAAGTAGGCAAGTTAGAGATATCACTTTTTATTGAGTTAAATATGATCCTAGAGTAAATTCCGAGTGGATGCAGTTTCCAAAGCTTTGTGAATGTCTCAGTCATGGTAGATCTGAATCACACAATGAATAAATACAGGTTAACGAAGTCCAGCTCAGATAGTAAAGTCTCAATATTGAGATCCTAGGTATTATACCAGAATACTGGAATAGACGGAGATCAAAGTGTCTTCATTTTGAAATAAAATTTGGAGAGTTTTACATAAACTTTGATATTTGAATGGGACACCCTCATATAGGGTACCTTTTCTCCGATATCTACGGATAAAATTAAAAACCAGAGCCAAATTATAATTTTTTGAAAGAATTTTTCCGAAACTCTTTTTTTGTTCAAAGATTTTGAAATATTTGAAAACATGATGTTAAGATGATCTCAGATCTTTTCAAATTTATAATTCATACAAATTTATAGATGCTTGACTATTTTTGCTGTTTCATTTCCTAGTACAGAGTTTTCTTAGAGAATGATCCCAGCAAAGCTAGTCATTATACGATGGTATAGCATCATAGCTAGGGGCCATTGAACTATATTTATGCACGACCGGACGTAAAGTAGCACTTCACCGCCCGGTTTTGCTGGCGTAAAGTGGCACTTTACTGCCCACGGACTACTTTACCGCCCGGCGTATAGGTAACTTGTAATAAGCATTCCTGTAGAATTCACGACATCGTTGTTCTAGTTGTGATGTTCGAACCCAAAATAAGTTATCTAGCTGTGATGACATGAATTGACAGCAATTGTAATAGTTTACTCCTATTTAAAAAATTTGTTAGTTACCATAGTTACGTTGATTCCATCAATGATGTTCCTACCATGATGTATTTCTATCAATCTTGAGAGGTGTGGAGGAATTCACACTAAAAAATCAACGGTTCATAAAAGCCTATTTTACGCCCTTGATACATAAATAACTATTTCGCTCACTGCCTATGTTATTTCAGGTTATTGTGCGAGTTCTATATTGATGTAAATGGCGGCAAATTAAGAAATATCTCAATCTCCACTACCTATACGATGCTAGATGCTATGATTATTTATAGAAACTCTGCATGTAGGAAAGCACCAGATCTGAACACATATTCGGGCATTTTGAATGAAACAATATTTTTGCACCCGAGTAATATGCTCAATGGAAGGATGATACTAAAAAATATTTATTTTCGCATTCGTATTATAGTACTAATATTAAAGTAGCACAAAGGCTTTTTTATATGAAATACTCCTCTTCGTTACGAAATGATTTTACTAATCGGTGATATCGATTAAAAAAAAAACAATATGAAGAATCCGTGCGAGAGATATTTAGCTTCTTTTTCAACTGGTAAGATATGGTCTGGTCTGATTCGGACTGTTCTGTTCTGTCTAGTCCAGCCAAGTCTAGTCTAGTCTAGTCTAGTCTAGTCTATTCTAGTCTAGTCCAGTCTATTCTAGCCTAGTTCAGCTAAGTCTAGCCTAGTCCAGCCTCGTCTAGTCTAGTCTAGTCTAGTCTGGTCTGGTCTGATGAAGTCTAGTCTAGTACAGTCTAGTGTATTTTAATTCTGACCCACCGAAGCAAAGAACTACTTGATGATCTATCTCAGGAGATAAATGCTATCGAAGGGGAAGATGTTTGTAGGTATTGCTAGAAGTCATATGTTGTAGTTCAGGTACTGTAATTATTGAACAGAGCTCAGTGCAATACCGAATGCCAGTTGGATGAAATATAACCATCGGCCCTTATATCTTGAAACACCCAGAAATCCAGATCAGTGACGAATTGTTAAGTATTTTCACTAAGGGAAGCATTTTTTGACAATTTGATGATACAGATTGAGTTTTTTCAAAATGAATATGGTAGAAAAAAATCCGAATCTGACCAACTTCGATTCAAGAATCAGCATGAAACACCTAGGTACTTCTCCAACCGACCTTTCTCTGGAAAGCTGACTAACGAAAAACAGTCCTTTCGAGTATGGGCTATCTGGCGCCCACATAGCCTCATAGACTGACGCCTGTTTGACCTTCAGCTGACCTTTTATTCTCGGTGTTAGTGCCGGCCCCCAGGCAACTCACCTTGGAGAGACAGCTCAACAAGAGCGTGCTCATATCCTGGACGGCTCCAGACGGGATAGGACCTGGAAACCAGATCGAGAGCTATCACGTCTACGTCGATGGGGTGCTCAAAACGACCATCAAGGCCACAGAGAGGACCAGGGCGCTGGTGGAAGGGGTTGACAGTAACAGGGTGAGTGTGGACCACTTATAAACTACGCAACACTAATTTCGTCGCACCCCAAAATTTTGCCATTGAAGCTTTAGAAATATATCTGGATAAGGGTCAAAGAAGGTCAAGATATATCAAGTCATGCTGAGGTTATTTTGCTTCAGATCAGATATGTCTCACGTCTTTAAGTTGTTAATCGTTTTTATATCGCTGATTCACGAATGTTTGATGAATTTTCTTATCCATCTTTGACCAATGAGTAGTAGAAGAACTATAGTGTTACTTGTTCACATTTCTGAACTCTGATGATGCTTGTTCCACAGGATCCTAGAATGTTGACTCTTCTTGCCTTGTCTTATCCTAGTGCAAACAGTGCAAATAGTGGAGGCTTGAAGAACTTGATTATCTGTGAATGCTTGGACCCCTTATTGTTGCAGCCACTTCTATGTACAGAGGTTTTTGGCGTGGATTTCTGTCTAAAACAGAAGGAGTAATTGTTGACGGGGCTTCAGGAAGCCTGCTTCAGGGTCCTATCTTTTATATTTGGGCCATCAATATTTCATTTTTTCAGCTGAATATGGGTTAAACAACCTGTTCTCATCCTCACTGAACTATCAACAAATTAGCCCATCTATTAAGGTACACCATCTTAAAAGGCAGTGGCCTGTTGGTAATCCACTCAGCAACATATATCAGTATACAGATGTGATTTTTAGGAAATAGATGTTGAACAACTTTTTCATAGCCATCAGTTGAGTCCATTTCAGCGACTTTCAAAATGAATATGACAAAAATGTGACCTACCTGATTTCGCTAATACGATAACATTTAGGCGATAACTGATTAGTTATTATGAATACAAAATCCTGATCTCTAAAGGTCAAATAAAATTTCTATAAGGAAACATGTATATCTTGAATTCTGAGACAAATCAGGCCAGTGTTTGTTTCGTAGGAGATAAAAATGTTTGATTTCTTTCTATCTTTTAGCCCCATCGTATCAGCGTGAGATCGGTAACAGCGAACCGCAGAACTTCCAGAGATGCAGCATGTACTATGATCATCGGCCGAGATACTCATTCGTTAGGCCCCAGCGCAGTGAGAGCTTCTAACATAACTTCCACGTCATCTGTCATCAGCTGGTTACCAGCCAACTCTAATCACCAGCACGTCGTGTGTGTTAACAATGTCGAGGTAAGAAACTTATAAAAAGATTTATGTTTTCTGAAACTAACTATATTTATATACTGGCAATACTTTCACAACAATTTTCAGTTCGGTTGGGAGTGATACCAGTTTCGAACATTTTGTTAGCGTTGGGTTATACCTAATCCCATGCACATGCACAAGATTTTAGTACATCCAGGTTATGAAACAGTTCTTCAATTATTTATAGGTGAGAACAGTCAAGCCTGGCGTATATCGTCACACCATCACTGGCCTGGCGCCCAACACCCAGTACAGGGTCACCGTCAGAGCGAAACACCATCGAGTGGCTCAAAATGTAGCCAACCTGGCAGAAGACCTACCAATGCCTGCTGCTGCGCACACTGATTTCAGGACCTTACCGAAGGGTCTGCCGGATCCACCAAGTGATATTATGGTGGAACCAGGTATGTTATCAAATTAGCTGGGTGTAGTGATGTGTAGTTCATAATATTCTCACACTTACACTATTCCTGATTTCACATATGAATGAATATCCAGCTCTCCACCTTGTTGATAATTATCGTAATATGTATTAATAATCCTGATTTTGAACGTTTCATGTCAAATGATAGATATTTGTCTCTCCAGGTCCACAAGATGGCACACTTCTAGTGACATGGCACCCTATTCTCACACCTCACCACCCAGGCTCAACGATCACAGGCTACGCTGTATACGCCGATGGCAAGAAAGTCACCGATGTGGACAGTCCGACCGGCGATCATGCTCTGATCGATATCAGCAAGCTGCTGGGCTTGAACCCGAAACACGTGACTGTTCGTACGAAGGCTAGGGACAGCCAATCGGCAGACAGCGTTCCCACCGCTATTCCACTGAGCGTTTTGAGAGGTGGGGGAAACGTCAGGTCTAGGCAGCAGCCGCATTCTGCGGTGATGCCGGCGCATATTCGTCAACAGATGCCCAGACAGCAGCAACAGCAACAAGGGCAACAGGTGAGAATACTTGATGGAACTTATATCTTTAGTTATTCATTCGGCAAAGGAAAGTTTGCTCAAAAGTGAATGCTCTGGGAATACTTAACCCTCCAGAAGTGGCGCCAAGTCTGAGAGACCCGACGCATCTATAATCATTCTTCAATTGTCGACAATCAAAGTCAAATCTTCGTATTCCTAGGTACCTTCATATTTTGGTCCCTAGTATCTCTATGTAAGGTTGGAAATGTGTATGTGTCGTTCCAAGGGATATATTGGACAAAAAGTCTGATAGACTAGGCGCCACCTTTGATGATATTTTTTTGTTAGTGATAGTGGACGGCATTTGTTATCAATTGCGTGAGTTATTTCTTATCATGAAAGATTATCCGTTGGTTTTCACTGTTGAAATTTCTAGAAATGAGTTACGAGAGGAAACAAGTGAGATTGCATAATAATATATGTGAACTATCGATAAATTTGATGAATGAATATATACAACGTTGTTTACTGGATGAGAAGGTGAAACTATATTCTTTTGGTGATATTGATGCACCAGGACCACCACCAACCAACCAAGTTTTTCTAGGATCACGAAAGAGGTTTTTTTTTGCACATGAGACTCGAAAACCATATTTTACTGTGAAAAGTGTAAAAAAAATTAACGCCTTTCTCACTTCAGAGCTTGGTGCCCAGCTAGCCTCAATTCACTGAAAAATCACTGAATGATGAGATTTCATTATATGTTTATCGATTTCTGTACGTGGAATTTTTTAACTTTTTGATTTTTTCTTGTGGCAGTGAAATTAATCGATATCAGCATAATTACACAAATTAGTTTTTGTAACGAATCCGATGATTATTTTGAGTAATACGTTCCGTTGCACAATAAAAAGCTTTTTTTCTGTGACGGGAAAAAAGTTTGGCATTTCATCCCTGTTGGCAGGTTATAAAATGTCACTTTTCATAAATTACTTTTTTCCCGTGGGAAAAAAGTGAGTACTTCTTTCCCGGATATAAATCAGATATATATACACTGTTGATGGCTTTTGTTGTGCTATAGTTTCGAAAAATGAGTCAATAACACCGTCTCCGAGAAAGAACTGCAAGTCCTTTTATCTTCCATTCGACTTCGCGGTTACGTGTATTGCTAAATAACCACTGAATTCGCAAATTTCTTGGAATAAAATCACAAAATTGGACTGACAGAAGTGACATCAGATATTTGATTACTTCAAATGAATGATAAAGATGCCTACAACGCGGTGTCCCTACTGTTGAAAACTTAAAATTTCACGTCGATAATTTTCAGATATCAAAATAATGTAATATCTTCTCAATATTGATTCGTCCTTTTTTCTGTCACAAAAAAAAATAGTGTATTATACACGGGAAAAATATTAGATTTCAGCTCACGGTTTGTTGTCTCCCTCCGCTACGCGTCGGGAGACAACACAACCTGGAGCTAAAATCTACTACTTTTTTCCCTTGTATAATAAATAACTAATTTTGAATCATCTCTCATCTTTATTCATCAGCCAAAATATTTGGAATTTTCACTTTTTCGAAAAGTTTGTGAGACCCGGCGCCACCTTTCGTTTCAACAAATAGGGCGCCACTTCCGTAAGGTTTTAATGAAGTTTGATCCGAATGAGAATATTATACGTTCTCCTCGAAATGATCACTTCTGCAGACCTGAATCACTATACTTTATTACCTTCAATATCTCATGCAGGGTTGATAAACAGTTACAATATCCTGATGGAAAAATGATTTGTGATAATGAACTTGGTTGAGAGTCCGTATTTTGAGATGATAAAAAACATGTTTTTTTCTGGATCATACCTATTACACTTACATATTATGAGACTTATATCAACAGACGAAGCAAGAAACAAGAAACAATTGTGTTAGCTAAACATGTCACGTTTCTAAGAAATTTTTTTGTGAATTTTATCGTTTGTGCAGTCTTTTCAGTTAGGTACTATGTATTTACATTTGGTATCAATAACTGGGTTCCATAGAATTGAAATGGATTGCTCAATACTCTAACTTTTATTATTCCACTTAATAATCACATATTTTTTTATCCAGGTTATTGAACCGGACGAAAATCTCAGTGATAAGGAAATCTTCCCGAATTCAAATCCACATCGTCAGCAGGGAGGGATTCCGTCAATCGGTAAACTTATTATTGCATATAATTATTTCCTTTTCATCTGAGATATAAACACTCATGATACACATCCTTCTGATCAGAAAACCACGTCAATACATGCATTTCGTTGACCCATGTACATAGATATATCTGAATGTCTCGGAGAATGGTTGAGTTGATAAATTAATTCACCAAGAAAAAGTCAATAGTATGAAAATCCTTTCCATGATATCGATATTGTTCACGGATATTTCATTTGGTCATGATGTTCAACCATTCCTCGAATTTTGACAAAACGAAGACATTCCAACTTTTTGAATTTGGTAGAAATAGATAAGATATTTTGGCATGATCTGGTTTACATTTTCATTACTTGATTGTTGGGCAGCTTCATAGAAGGAAGTAAGCAAAGAAGGCAGCATTTGTAAGCTCTTAGACTTGTATGCGCTGAGATTCGATATAGATTTGGAAGTAGATCTTGGTGTCAAAAAAGAAATACTAATCATTTTTCTTAGAATACCGTTTCTAAATACTAGCACCACGATGCGTTGCAGAAATTACGAAAGAAAATTACGAGAGTAACTTGTCTGAAGACGAAATGTTGGAAAGACGAAACCAAAGACAATATCAACAGCGTTCGCAGCAAAGGCAGGTGCAGCACCAAAGGCCGGAGCAGCAACAGCAACAACAGCAACCGCAGCAGCCGCAACAACCCCAATCTCAACAACAGTATTACCAACAACAGCAAGGTAAAATTCACAGGAAACAACACAATTGGCCAGAATGCTTCCAGTTTCTACAACATCTCCATTTCATCCATCAATTACTTTCTATTGTGTCCACATGAAAATTTTCATTCGTTCTTTCTTAGCACATATCCACCTCTGACATAGCTTCACATGAATACACACAATCCTCAAGGTAAGGTTCTAGTCCTATAAATGGTTTAGAACTGTTATGTTACATGCATGTTACATTGAACAAATTATATAGACAATCATTAGCTCAATAGGCGATAGTTATCTATAAGAAATTTAGGTGTAGGTAAATACACTTCCTAGGTGGCAGAGTGATCTAAGAAACTTATATAATATACCTGTTTTTTTTTCATTTCATCATTTTTAGGTTCTTCAGAGTCATCTTGAATATAACGTCTTGTGACTGTGATATTTTGACATCACATAGGGTCTCTTCGGCGTTATTTCAGGACGTCCACTTTGTCATTTAGTACTAGAAAATTACGTCAATTGGAGTCACTCTGCTACTTGGGCTATAGAAATTAGGAGTAGGTCATCACTTATGAAACATCATCTCACATCTCAAATAGTCATTAACACAGTTATTAGATATAAATGGTTAGAAGTCGAAACTTGTGCGAGGTTGAGAAGATCCTAACCTATATTTTATAGTATAGAAGAACAACTTTTAGGACGCCGAGATGTTGCATTGAGTTGGCAGAGCATGAATTAATATTGGTACACAGTCAGTAGAAGTCGAAGAAGCCATATTTTACTGATAACGAATATAATAATATCGATACAAAGAAACATGCTATACAGAGTATCTCTTGACAACATACAGGGTGTCCCGAAATTACCCTGTCAAACTTCACCTGTGGCTTCTACGACCAGAAATAGGAAGAAAAGTAACAATGAACATGAGTCGAGGAATGTCTCCTAAGGGAGCAACGGGCCTCTAGGAGGGAACTCCTGAAGATATTTTTTGAATATTTTTGAAACTTCATGTGATAAAATGATGCATTTCGGTAAAAGAACTAAACTTGTAATGCCCAATGCATAGAAGGAGAAGTCATTCTGAAATTTTATTCAGTTCTGTAATGATACATTAAAGATTGCTCAAACTGTTTTATATGAATATTTTTCTACAATCCAATCTCGGATTATGGAAACACACACATTTTAACAGAAAAAAGGTCCTCTTGTTTCGTATCAATCAGATGTATCATTTTCGAATGAAATGGAGTTAAAAATATTGGTACACTCACATCTCATGCATAACGTTGCCAATTTTCTGATCATAGTGGCTATAAGAAAATCAACTACTTAATTTTCACATAACGATTTCATAGAAGCGCGTGAAATAGGAAAATGATGAGAAATAACTACTTCAATTTATGTGCATTCTTTTCCATAAGGCAAAAAGACCCTACTCAGCTACTACAGACCGATCGAACTGCTAACTATTATTTCAAATATCATGGAGCTCATGGAATACCTGGAACATTCAGGTATGATCAACGATAGGCAATATGGCTTCCGTCATCAGAGATCAACTAGTGACCTGCTCGCTTTACGACTCACATATATGGCAGCAACCTATTGAAAAATATGGTGAAACCTTAGCCGTGGCACTTGATATCTCCAAGGCATTTGATCGAGTCTGGCACCACGGACTCCTCACCAAGCTTCCATCTTATGGCTTGCCTTCTCACTCCTGACTCTCTTATCATAAATGCTGGTGTTCCGCAAGGATCAATTCTAGCACCAACAGTATTTCTACTCCAAATCGACGATTTGTTGGAAGCAACTTCATGTCCAGTACACAGCTTCGCTCCATACCGCCCTCTTCCAGGGCTCCAATACCAGCCAGGCAAATCAGTAACGAACGAGGAAGAAATGTTGACAACATAAATATGCCTTTTCTCTAGAGAAGCCGATCTCACTGTGCCCAACATAAGCTTGTAACCATACCTTTGAAGACATCCATTTCGATGCTTGGTATTACTATCAGCAATAACCTTTCTTGGGAAAATCACGTGAGATCGATTGGTAAAAATGCATCCCAAAAACTTGGTTTTCTGATTCGGGGCAGGAGCTATTTCACTTCCAGTCAGCTGCTCATGATCTATAAGGCACAGATCCGAACTGTCCTGGAATATTTTTCCCATATTTGGAGTGTAGCACCCCTGAAACTGTTGGACTCCGTCCAAGAAAGGACAATTCGTCTCGTGGGTGATGCCTCGCTCACAAACTCACTCACTTCTCTGGAACACCGTAGAACAGTTGGCGATCTGGCTCTATTTCATAGATATTTCCATGGACGATGCTCTTCTGAAATATCAACAATTGTTCCTTCCTTGGCAGTCCCCGCGAGATTAACCCGTCGAGTTGAGGCTTCGCACCCCTTCGTGGTCACTTTGGAGGCCTGCAGAACATCTCTTTCCAAAGACCCGTTCATGCAACGAACAGCGAGGCTCTGGAACACATTGCCAAGGAAGGTGTTCCTTGAGGCATAATACCTCCAGAAATTCAAGTAGAACATCAATTCCTACCTTATTTCCCATGGTTCTTATGTTGTTCTCTGAACATTACAGGATATCAGTTTTCGTGGGAACCAGAACATACAAAAAAATATCCATCACGATTGATTGCAATGTTATGCATAATATCTGAGATGTAACAATATTTTTGAATCGTTTTTTCTCGAAAATGATACATCTGATCGATACGGAACATGAGTACCAGTTTTCTGTAGAGGTGTGTATGTAGGTCGTAGCTCCTTCAGGAGGCATTTCCAAACATATATTTGTTGAAACTTTTCCTTCTATTTTTTGTCGTTGATGCCGCTGGTGAAGTTTGGTAGGCTAAATTCGGGACACCCTGTATAGTGACCGAAGAGATTCATTCGATCAACCAGTACCTCTTCTGATCACAAAATCCTTCAAGACATCCCATTTTATTCTCACCCTACTGTACCGCCCTTTCCAGCCATCTCCAGAGACCCAACCTCGCGCCAGATGCCCCAGCAGATGCGCGACCAGCAGGCCCAAGGCGGTCGAGGCGGCAACACCGCCAACGCGCCCACCAACCCGAACAATCCGCCCATGTCGCAGAAGCGCGCCCGCTGGTTCGTGGCCCTCTTTGATTACGATCCGGCAACGATGTCGCCCAATCCGGACGCTTGCGACGAGGAGCTGCCCTTTTCGGAGGGCGACACCGTCAAGGTGTGGGGGGAGAAGGACGCCGACGGGTTCTATTGGGGCGAATGCAGAGGTGAGTGGGCACCACAGAACTCATAATATTTATATCACACGACTAGAACGCGTGATCCTATAGTTTCATACAAAACTTCTGAAAAGAACATAGGCATTGGCATTGGAATAATTACATAGAGTGGATGATAATTTTTGTCGGTTACTCGACCGAAAAGATAGGTACATATAATAATGAAGATGATGGAAAGCCCTAATTTCGAGTGACAATGGAAAAATGAAAAAACTCCACCGCCCCGTGTGAGAGTCGAAGTCACAACCTCTGGGTTACATGCCCAACGCTCTGCCAATTGAGCCAACGGGTCGTCCGTCGATCAATCGGCAGGGAGGTCGAGTTCTGATTACACACCAAGCGGCAGAATCCTTCCAATTCCCGAAGTCACTCGAAATCATGCACTATACGAAGCATCGCTGGCAGGATGGTACTGAGTAACCGACAACAAGGAAAGACAATGCCAGAGGACGAACGGGGAAATATGGAGACTGTATAGTACCCACCAGGCGAATGGCTTTTCTCTGGATGGAATCTAAGAGCATCAGCGTATGTTTTGGTGCTAGAATTGATCCTTGCGCAACACCAACATTTATGATAAGAGAGTCAGATGAAACTCCGTCTACCACTACATGGAGAGACCTGTTTGAGAGAAAACTAGCAAGACCGTGGTGCCAGACTGGATCGAATGTCTTGGAGATATCAAGTGCCACGGTTAAGGTTTCACCATATTTTTCAATTGATTGGTGACGTAGGTGAATAGATCTCCAGGTGATCTTCGGTGGCGGAAGCTATATTGTCTATCATTGATGATTCCTGAGCTTTCCAGATATTTGATGAGCTCAGTGTTGATGGCTTTCCTCATCACTTTGGAGATTACTGATAACAGGGCAATAGGCCTGTAGTTGTTGGACAGGTTTTTGTTTCCTTTTTGGGGATTGGTTGGACTTTAGCAATCTTCCAGCATTATGAAAAGATACCCGCTTAGTACAAGATGATAAATAACTTGCAGAGAATAGGTGTCAATTCTGGTGCACATTTTTTGAGTATAATGGATGGAATTCCATCAGGGCCGTTAGGCCTTATTCGTTTCGAGACCAAGCAAAATGCGTCTGATAGAGCGTTGACGGAAGACGATTTGGGGAATTCGACTGCGATATCGTTGCTAAAGTACCGTCAGCGTTGGAGAGTGGTGGAAATGGACTATTAGTGACATTTTTCCCAGCTGTTTTTTGCGAGGGACCAAAACGAACGGGATCCATTGGGACAATCTATGAGTTTCGATCTCATTTTGACATTGTATGTTTTTCTTTTTATGCATCTATTGTTTATCTGCAGCAATTCCTGGCTTCAGCGTATCTTGCTGTAGTTAGATCAATAATATTATCATTTCACTGACGACTCAATATGTTTTGAATGAACCAGTTTATACATAGTATAGATTCATTGACAGAACGTGTGCCATCTGCAGTTATCTGCCACTACATTCCATCTAATAGTATTTACAACTAAAGTAAGTTTGACCACTATCAACTAGAAAAGGAAAGAAGGAATAATTGACTTCACTTTGAGTAATATGGGCCTCCACCAAAGATCAACTGGCTGCTATAGAATATAGCATGATAGTTTCCGGACGAGATGTTTGAGTTCAAAATAGTATTCACTATATTTGTGGAAAGTTTTCAGAACATATATTTTCTACGATTTTTTTGTATTCATATAGGTAGGAGAGGTTATGTGCCGCACAACATGGTCATGGAATTAGAAGGAAATCAGAACAGGGACAGGTGGGGAGATATATGTGCCAATCTACCCGTGAAACGTATGGTGGCTCTATATGACTATGATCCACAGGAACTTAGTCCTAATGTTGACGCCGAGGTGAGGATATATAACGAATTATTCACCATTTATTTGAGAACACACTAAATGCAATAGACGGTTGAAGATAGGTTCACTTCTCTCATGGCCGATCTTGAAAAAAAAACCATAATTGAAATAGCGATTAAGTATCTGCCCCAATAATAGTTAAAGCCTCCAGAGTAATTTTTTAATTTAATCACTTCGGAAAAAAAAAGAAGTAGGTGGAAACGAGCCTGATGGTATCTTTGGCTTATCAAGCACGCACGTTACTCCATTGGCCATTATTTTTCTTTTGAGTTCAGGTACAAAACAGATTTATAGAGGTAGGATAAGCCTCACCACACGGATTATCTGTTGCATCGCATCCTTATGGCATGGTCGAACATTTCGAGTAGTATTGAATTCCTGTAATGCTTCCGCATGGATTATTTATTGCGAACTGTCTCTAGATAGATCAATCCATTTGTGCATTTTGGTTGCGCAGAAGACTAAAACGTCAATGTCATTTGTGATCAAGTCACTGAATAGCAAAGAATCTGAAGGGTATTTACCATCTAGTAATGAATTTGGGCCTTCGAAGTGCCCACCTGATGTAAGGATAGATATTTGTCATTTTCTTCTAATCATCTGAATAACTAATCTCAGAAGACGAATTCTAATAATTAATATTTAAGACACTGAATTATGAAGTTTCATGTCTGATTCTTGGATATTTTGTGTCTAACAATCATGTCCGCCAAAATATTTTTTTCACCCGCCGTAATTTTTTTATATATAAAATGTATCCTATGTTCTTTCTAATACATCTAAAAATAAAACTTCAAAATTTCATGATAATTGGTTCTGTAGTTTTGGCGTGACATACTGACAAACAAACTTACATGAACATTTTTTATAATATTAGTACGGATAATTATACATCTCTTTACCTACACACAATGTGATGTCAAATACGATGTACTTCAAGTCTCTAATGATAATTGAAGAAGATAGAAAGCCTCAAAGTGTGACTTCCACGCTGGTGACTACACCCTTGCGAAGAGTCAACTTTTTTCACTCAAGTAATTTTTCAAAAAATATAATTTTCAGGAAGAAGGTTCTTTTTGTCTTAGTTGAGTAATTTAGTAGTTTAGGAAGTTAGTAGTTTCCTTTTTCAAGCCGCTGCGGCAACAGACACGTTGTTGTGCCTGTAATCAATTTCTTGCAGACACGCATACATTGTTCATTGTCAGAAATAAGATTCTGGTATGAGGAAGTTGAAAACAAACAACAATAATGAAATAATAGGTGACAACAACAACAACAACAACAACAAAAATCTAACAAATCTAAAAATGCTAAATCGATCAAATCATAAAAATAGCCACAGGGACTCATCAGTAGATGGCAAAGTATCAATTTTATCCATTTCGTAATAAAATCATGTACCCTTCTGAAGGGGTGGATCGAAATAATTCCACTGGTGACATCTATAAATCTATATGAGATATCCAAACATGAAATTCGATAGTAAAATACGAACCAGAAATGCTCGGTCAGCAAGGATTTTTGAAAAACTGCAAGAATAAACTACCCCTCTGAAGGGGTGAATCGAAATGATTCCACTGATGGCATCTATAAATCTATATGAGATATCCAAATATGTAATTCGATGGTAAAATACGAATCAAAAATGCTCGGTCAGCAAGGATTTTTGAAAAACTGCAATAGTAAACTACCCCTTCGATGAAGTGGATCGGAATAATTTTACTGCTGGCATCTATATATTTATATAGAATTCTCAAATATGCAACTTGATGAAAAAATTCGAACCAGAAATGCTTGGTCAGCATATTTTGATAATTTTGGTCAGCAAATTATATTTCCCCATATAACAGCACTGCATGAAACTTCAAAAAGAATTTGGCTATAGCCGAATCTTGCTAAGGAATACGCCCTCTACCGTTTTCTAATATAACTAGCTAATGGGCCATTGATTGCTTTGTTCACATGTGTTTTATATGAGAAATAGTTGTGTTTAAATAGTCTATAATTTTGTTTGAGGAATTTTATATACGTTATTTATTTTTATCTTAAGCAGAAAAATTCCCGAATATAGCTTTCATACCTTTCCAGAATCAGGACAACCCTAAGTTGTATTTGTAACTAAGTTGGGAAACAATGAAGTGATCCATAGAAGAAAGATGTGAATTCATAACTCAAAAATTGGAAGAAAAGTGCATGAGAATATTATGAGACATTATTATTTCCACTTTACTGAAAATTTACCCATATATTTCCATATAATAGGTATATGTCTATTATGAATATAATACCTACATCTTGGGGTGATAATAAAAAACAAACAAATTTTCAACTGATTATATCTTTCATCATAATACTACTCATGAACAGTAGAATTTATAAACAGTAAAGAATTTCATCAACCAGAACCCTGGATTTCACATAAAACATGTAACATTTTATTAATATAATTTTCTTTCATGACATAACATATTCTTCAAGAACTCAAAATCAAATTCTATCAATAACCAAAATAAATTCAGAATAATGTGATTGAAAGATGAATATGTAACCAAAAATGTATTGTTTAGATTGAAAGTAGAGCCAGCCCCAATTGTATCTGCCCATAATAATTATGTAGCTTCTTCAACTATATAAATTCACCATTTCCTTGGACTACATATAAGTGATTTTTTCGAGAGCTTCTATGATAGTCTTCCTACTATGTACCTGTGAAATGATTTTATCAAAACATAATAAACCACTGGAAAACACGAAGTTCAAAAATACACAAATCATGAAGCTAAACGTTTGAAATATCAAAACGAAATGAACATAAACACCATTACTGAACAATGTAAACAATCTGTCAATGGCCCATAGAGTAGTACCGACATTCGCCGTTCTGGTGCTACGATCTTAACCTCAGTTGTCTATAGTCACTGCATTTTCAAGCAACGATATTGTCCTTCCTCATATCACCTTATAACCTTCTGATAACCTTGAGATTTCAAGGATTCGTCGGTATAGCTAGACGCTTGTATCTCTACCCGACCCGCTTTCTGCCCCCAACTGCAGGTGGAGCTGAGCTTCGCCACCGGCCAGATCATCAGCGTGTACGGCGACATGGACGACGACGGCTTCTACATGGGCGAGATAGATGGCGTGCGCGGATTGGTGCCCTCCAACTTCCTTGCCGAGGCGCCTGAGCAGTACGGCGGTCAGGCGGGGCAGCCGCAGCAGTACGGCGGGCAGGCGGGGCAGCCTCAGCAGTACGGCGGGCAGGCGGGACAGCGGGGAGGGCAGAGAGGGGGTAGAGGAGCGGGGCCTGGAGCTAGGGGGCCTCCCCCGCCGCCCAGGGAGAGCCAGATCCGCGGGAGGAACAAAGGTGAGTGCGGGGTGGGGAAGGAAGTTTGGGCGGCTGGAGGGAGGTGTCCTCGGGTGGAAAGGCGGGTGCAGGAATTTTTCCGGATTTGTGAATAACGTTAGGCTTATGAAAATTTGTTGTATGCACTTGTTGTTTTTTATAGTACGAGACCTGATGAGAAATCGAATTTGTTTTTGCGTAATTTCCTATTGAAGTTAAATATTCAGAATATGTTTCCGGTTTGAGGGCAAGGGGAAGCGGATGCGTTGAAAAAAGATTTCTTGATTCAAATTCTTGTTACCTCTATATATTTATGTAAAGTTTATTTGAACTCTATTTGATTTAACGATTATTTACAATTTTGTTTAACAGTAGATATATTTTCCTAGGATAATGTTTCTTATTCTTATGAGGTATGTTTTCTTCAGTTAGGTACTTTTAGTTTATTTCATTCTTCAATGGAATACGTATTTCGAGAGACAATCAATTTGGTACTTACGGCCATTCTTTATTCTTATGATATTTCTGTTTTCATGTAGGTGTATTGTTTTGAGAGAATGAATAATTTTTTGAAATTCGTTGTCATAGTTAGCTGCCCTACTTTACCTAGTTTATGTCTTTTTCGTAATATTTTCAAACCACACTCGGAGTGGATGTTGGTCTGAAAGATCGCCATTTCCATTTATTGCAAATTTTTCAATTTAAGAAGAAGGCCCTTCCTGGATTTATTTCTGGCAGCACCCATGGTTGAAGACCCTCAAAAATGCAGAAAACGGCAAACAATTTCAAAGTAGCCTTTCTTCCCAACCGTTAATCTTTTTTTTTTATCGCTTGGAGCGCACGAAAGGGAATCCCTATAACGTTCAAAGAACATCGTGCGTTCCTAAGGAGGATAGGGACAGGAGGTAAGTATTGGAATTTTTTTTGAACTTTTGGAGATTATATGTTGTTGGGAATACTTCCACAGGCAATGAATTCCAGAGCCTAGCCGTTCTATGGATGAAGGAGTCTTGATAAAGTGCTGTTCGACATCTTTCGAGGTTGACAACGAAAGGATGATCATTACCATAGATTATTATCAGCAATGATGCTGTGGTATAGGATTTTATATTCAGTTTATTATCACTTATAATTACACGAGAGCTTTTTTTTGTCGGTATCAATAAGAATTTTGTTGCCTGGCAATTTGACGAGTTGAGTTGAATTACCTAATGGCAATAAAATTCGAATTATAAATGCCAAGTTCACTTCGACTAAACAAAAAGATAGAGTGTAATTCGGTAAGACAATTTAATGCATCAAACATTTGTTTATGGCTCGTTGTCATGCTTTCAAAAGTTAGGTACCGTTATTGTCGCTGGAAAAGTTAGGGCAAACCTTTTTCGCTCATACATGAATTGAATTGTCTATGCTATTGAAGGAGATAAATCAAAATGGTGTATGCGAGAAAATATAGGGTTGTCCAAAGAAACCGGAATTTTGTTTTCGAAAAATAACTATTCAATCGAGTTTGGTCTTCATAGAAAGAGAATGTCAACGTCATATTTATTGAATTGTTTCATATAACGAAATGACGGACAAACCGAAACTTGGCCGAACTTGAAAACTAAAAAAAATCCGTCTAAAAATAATGGTATTAAACAGGATGAAGACAGGTGTGTTTCCACATCTGGATTCTTCTGTTTAGAAAATAACATTAAAACGTAGATGATATCTTAATCGTTTCAAATTTGCCCGGAAAGAATCTTCATTTAATTTAAAGTAAAAAAAAAAATTAAACTGAATGAAAACTAGAAACAATTGTTGGGGAAAATAAAATATATGTATGCGTAATGCATTGATCGGAAACGAAATTCCGTTTTCTTTAACAACTCTACATTTCAGTCATTATTTGAAAGGCAGGTTAGTTTGTAGCCCTGATCTCGATGCTATTGATGAACTTCGTTGGACCAATGTTAGAGATGCAACCTTTTAAAATCATTGTATGCCTTTCTTGAATTCCCTATCACTGAGCAATTAGGGCTAAAACCAAATGAAAACTCATCTGTGCGGAAGAAAAGTCAAGTAGGTAAATAATCGGAAAACACTCATTTTCCATTGGACACCAAAACCTCCAGTCCGTACCAATATATGAAATGATTTTCCAATCATGTACAGGATTTTTCATCCATGCTATTGATATTAGTCGATGGAAATTGTTAAATTTATATCAAAAATTCAATTGCTGATAGCTCCTTGTGTAAGGATATTTACTTTAAAATTTGAACAGCATATATGAGGGGCCAGAATATCATCACACACTTGCAAGGTATTTCATGCTTTTTTGTATTCTGAGATTCATACACATTTTTCAAATCGTTCATTGCTATACAAGGTGATTTTGAAATGAAAGTACATATAATGGACATATCGATATGATACAGTCTATAACGAATTGATATCTCCAAGATATCAGATGTTTCCTATGCCTTCTAATCAACAAGATCATCCATCTTGTGAATTGAAAAAAATGAAACTATGTACAAAGATGACGTCAGAAATGCTACATTAGTATTGCCTTATATCTCATTTTGATCCTCATATTTTTTTCCGTGATGCTATTCGATTGTATACCGTCGTTTAATAATTTGGTATGGAGGTATATGTGTTCATTTTGAAGTCACCTTCTCAATATCTATACCTACATACTTATCCGCAACTCAGGTGAAACTTTTTATTTGCAGAATACCTTCCACTGTACATTTTGATGAGGCCAACAATAACTTGATATTTTTCGTTTTCATGAATTATACGATTTTTCTGATAATTGTGCAAATTTTTTATGTTCAACGCAAGCGTGTGATGTGAAGATTCATTTTTTGTACTCATTTGGCTGTTACCTTTTGAAAATGCGATACGAAAAATGGATCAGCTTTAATTGTGTTTATGTTCGGACTTGCACTAAACGAAATGTTTGCAATATTGCTAGCTCTATCTCTATCTCTTTTATGCTGATTTTTGACACAAAAGCTCGTTATTTTCATATGCATGATTCTTGGGCTGGAATGTGAAATCAATATAACTGGAGTCGTAATTCATGAAATGCTGTATGAGATAATAAAAATAATGTGAAATTTACAATGTTTCGAATCAAATATTTTCAAAATGTACTAAAATAGAACTTTTTTTTTGGAGAAATAAATTTCGACTCTTCGACTCCATTGAGCTAATTTGTAATTCATCCAAAAACAGAAACTATAAAATCACATTGCTCAAAAATTAGTCTCGCAATAATTGGGAATTTTTCTTTGACATTCATATTTCACCATCTATATCACCAGATTAAAAATTGAAGCTGAAAAATATAACGAACATTCTAACGACAAAAGTTTTCTGTGTGAACATGTTGTTATAGCCAATTATATATTTTTAAAACAACAGAAATATCACTATGTTCATTTGACAAGATTTGAGGAGATTTTAGGGTAGGTATACAGGATGATTCACGTTGGGTGTTTATCTGAAACATTCCAATTCGTTTTAGAATAATAACTTCAAATTTGGTATAACTACGCAGCTATATCGTACAATATACAATGTATCTGTTGTGAAGTTGTATACCCAGGTGTAGGGATATTTTATATGGAAGTAGTAAACAACAAATGTTGAATTCTATATGTGAGTTCGGACTAGATAGTGGTAGGATGCAGCAGAAAAATAGAGAAAAACGAATATATTTCTGTAAAATTATCAATTTTTGACGATTTAGTAACTTCGATCTTTCCATACTGTGAGGTGCCAGAGAAGATTTTGTTACATTTTCTATCATAGTCTCAAACGACATTGATGGAATTTTGAGTATTTTCAATTATTCATATTCCACGGTCAATTCTGATATATATTTTTGTAATAATCAGCCAATTACCAAGAATTCAGATATAAGTTTCAATTATGGCGAGAACCGTTCATTAGAGCTCAGTTGAAGCTCAATCGTGGTTTCAACAAAATTGAACAATGAATTCAAGAAATGGAAAATATCAGACAAAGAATCACCGAGTGGCGTGAAAATATGGATAGCGTAGCACTGGATCAAAAGCCTGAGATAGACCTATTTGAAAATAAAACTACAAATAGGATTTCCATGAACAAAAAAAAAACTATCGTAGAGTCATTACTGAAAAAAAAAAACATTTTCTATTTCTTATCTACACCACCCTCGTATACTGAGCACTTGAAGACCTATGTCTCTACATTAGTCGTTATGATATCGAGAGGGTTATTCCGCAACCCCTGTACATATAAGTCTGTCAAATTGACTAGCAAACCAAGCAACTGTCATGAACACCCAATATAATTTTCTATTGAACTTTCCATGAATGAATAGTATTTGATACAGTAATTGATCATTCAAAATCTCCAGATATAGGTACTCTTCTTCGATACCTGAAACATCTACAACATTTCAGACCAATATCTATTAAGGTTAGGAATATTGAAATATCGAAGAACTTTGATTACATTTTTACTTAGAAGGAAAATTTCGCCAGAATCGTTTTGAAAATAACGAGTATTTTCGTGTTTAGAAATGCAGCGCTGACTGTATGTTGTTTGTCTGTCTGTTTGGTCTAGATGCCTGCCTACCTGTGTATACCTCTCAGTTAGACTCGCTCAACACGTCTACGACACCGAACACTATCACCGAGCACCAGCAGGTATTTGAACGCCCTGTATACTATTACTTTACCCATTTATCTATTCTATCTGATAGCTGTATCTATCTGTCAGCTTGACTACCCTCCTCATTCTTCGATGTTAAGCCAATAATGTGTCTTGCATGTTCATGTCAGTGTTGTTTGTTTGTTGTAGATTTGGATCGAAGTGTGGGTAGCAGTTTTTGTTGTGAGTAGATTTTGTTTCATGTGTAAATGAAACAAGGACTAGCATGGGTGAGGGTGTTATCGGTGAAGACGAACAGGTTATCATCAAGTTATTTATATCGAAGACTGGAACCTTTGGCACGATGATACACTACACTGTTTTACCACCAACCAAACCGTTTTTTTGAGTTTTAATCTTCTCCTGAAGATGTTAACATAGTTAGCGAAACACGTGTCGAGGCGTTAAAAAAACGGTTTGGTTAGTGGTAAAATAGTGTAGTGTAGGTATCAAGTTATTTTGAAAAAACATTTTTTCTGTGACGGGAAAAAAGTTTGACATTTTCTATAAACTTTTTTTCCACGGTAAATAATGAGTACTTTTTCAGCGGATATATTTACACACACTGTTGATAGCTTTTTGTGCTAGTTCTAAAAAATAAGCTAATAACACCGTCCCCAAGAAACAACTGCAAGTCCTCTTATCTTCCATTCCACTTCGCGGTTACGTAAATTGCTGAACAACCACTAACTATCTTCTCGATATTGATTGTTCAATTTTCTGGTCACAGAAAAAATAGTGTGTCATACACGGGAAAAATATCAGATTTTAGCTCACGATTATTTGTCTTCCTCCGCTACGTGTCGGGAGACAACACAACCTCGAGCTATTATCTACAACTTTTTCCGCTTGTATAATAAATAACTATTTTTAACATCACTTGAAACAAAAATGGTATTCTGTTACTTATGAATCTTATTTCATCAGGACTATTATTGCTCTTTTATCCTCAATGTATAAATTTATAAATAATATAATATACACGGTGCCGTATAACAGTCTAACTCTTCAATCGGAATACAGATTTCGTCATTGTACTTATTGCATATGTTATGTTGATATGTATGGAATTGATAGTTTTCTTCCGTATTGTCAATGAAAGGTATACCAGTTAGATTCGACAGCTCTATTACACCAATACTTTGAAACCAAGATAGTTAAAAACAATCGCTGTTCTTTCTTTTATATACTTTGCGGGAGTTGTTCACTAAGAAGTCCTTATCGAATGAATACCAAACTTTTCGCTCGTTCTGAACATAGGCCATTCTGAATACTTGTTGTAGAAAATACTATTTAAATGCAATGAGTTATAGTACAGGTACTCAATGGTAATAGTATAGGTTGAACGTTGTATATATTGTGGTCCAATTCGAGTTTCCTTCGTGAAGCAAGCAGCTTTCAGTAAAAATGAAATACCTACGTGTTCTCAAAATCACAAATGTCATATTTTGAATTGTCTTGGCCGTTACTTGACGGAAATCTATAGTTAGAGAATTACTCTAATTAAGGAAATTAAAGATTCTATTGATGAAATTACTCAATCACACGACATGTTCCGCTAACACTGTAGCTACTGCAGGTGAAATACTGGTACAATTAACAGTAATACACCTGAAGAAGCTACTGTTTTAGCAAAACATGTCGTGTTATTGAGCATTTGGTGAAAATCTTATCGATTGTGAAGTTTCTTACAACTTCAAATGTTTGCAATAATACCTAACGGATGACACCGCCTTGTTGAACAGAAATGTGAAACACACAAGTTTCCCTTTGGTGCATTCCAACGTGGTTGAGCTGTAGTTGAGCGATTTATTTTATGAGTGATATACCAAAGGAATAAATTGAAATTGGATCACCCCTTATATTAGAAATATTATATGTATTGATTTGTTATAATGAAAGTATAGTATCGACAATAACTGCATGTAACTCTTTTTTGGGAGGAGCACGATTCATGTATAGGTACCGTATTCATTTGGAAAATATCATATTCATATTATGTATATTATAACTTTGTTGATAGCCCTTTAATTTTTTTCATAATGAGTAACATATGCATGCACGAGGATTAGTTAATCATCAGTGAGATATAATTGAAGTTGTATTGTGCAGTGATAGCACCCCAACTCCTAACCTGGAAATATAGGTGTCCATCAATACAATAATTTACACTCCCAAACTCCATGAGCAGATGAAATTCCAAATGAATGAGGAAAAGTCAATAGTTTGATCATACTTCCATGACGAACAAAATGAATGGTTCGGGGTCTAATACACAGAATATTGGCCTTAGTAACAAGGAGATGAACTAGAATAATTGGATGCATATTGAATTATATCATTCACCTACTCTCATGTAAGAGTACGCTCTGAAAAAACTTTTCAGCTATTCTAATTTCAGCTCCTTATCAAGTTTCCATTGAGATCTCATCAAAGCCCTTTCAAAGATATAACTTGACACATCTGTCGACTTCTCAGGTGTATTCTATTTGGGAATTACACTTCACCTCCTTTTTTCTTACCTTCAGATCATCTGAAAATATCCATACTCGTTATTATAATATGATGAAAAAATAGTTATTTGTTTAACTAGGCAGCAAAGTAGTAGATTGACTGCCGAGGCTGAATTCATAGCCGAGCGTAGCGAGGCTAGGATTTCAGCTAAGGCAGTCAATCTACTTTGCTGCCGAGTTGAACATATAATTTTTTCCCCGATTGTTCATAATGATATAGGAGGATATTGTATTTGCAAATTATTACAATTCTCACAATCTCTTTATGTTTCCTGTATTGTTCAATTAAAATAAAATTTGATAGAAATCGCAGTTGTTGGAATGGTTGGTTGCTATGGAAATGTCCATAATAATTATTATAGTTTGACAATTCATGAAATTTCTGACAGTTGTGCGAAAAAACATCGGTATATTTAAATTATTATATAATGGACAGTGATAGCGCCCTGGAAGTACTTACTCCTCCAGAAATAAGGGAGGTGGCAAAAAATATTGAGTTGAATTTGTTGCCGGAGAAGTCTCGGATGAAATATGAAGGAAATTATAAACGATTTATGGATTATTAATTTTGCTGACACATATCAATCAGTAAAGTGACCATTTTGCTGCCTAGGCAGCAAAGTACCCACTCTTCTGCCTAGGCAGGAAAAGTAATACTTTGCTGATTGATATGTGTCAGCAAAATTAATATTTGCTGCCAATCGGAGAAAAATGTCATTTTCTTCCATCTCAGAATGTATCAACCACTTTTCAACCACACTTTTGACCAACCGTCTATTAATAACAAACTAAATGAAATCTTGTAGACTTTTATTGGTTCGAGTACGAAGTAATCCACAGGCAACAAGATGACCGTAAATTGACGTCTAGTTTGCGTCAGTTAGATGACGTCATGGGTTGGCGTCATATGACGTGATTAAGGCACAGCCCAATGACGTCATATTACTCACTTCTACTCACGTCAGTCACTTCTAAGGGTGACGTCAAAATGACGTCGGAATGACGGTCAAATTTGGTAGTAGAACGTGAGAAAGTTTTCTCAAACATGGTGATATGATATTATACACCACTGGCCTCTGATGATATCTCTTATTGATTATGCATTGTTGTAACTGTTTTTCAAATTGAATTTGTCGGCGAGAAGTAAACAGACCAAGAATGGCTTGATTGCATTGTATCGAATGTTGATGAATTCAGCTTCACTTCGTTGAGTACCTAACGTATATATTCATGTATTCTTTTTCAGTCAACAGGAAGCTAAATATCAAATTTTTGGAAGACTTTCTAAAACATGTATTTCACCGAATTGGTACGTCATACCAACGTGATTTTTGACGTCATACACACGTGACTGCAACGTCAAAGAAGTGAGTCGAAGTCATGTGGACGTCATCATTATGATGTCTTGAAGATTGTGACAGTGGCGTCACTAATTGGTGTGGGACGTTACTCACTGATAGCGTTTTCCACTCGCCGATTTACAGAGCGCACTAGCTCAGAGCAAGTACAAAGTGGCACTGGCTCGGTTATTCCATAAAATGCGGTTCCAGCACAGAGCAGTGAAATAGAAATAGAGAGTTGGTGCGACCTTCTTGTCATCAGAAATGTCAGAATAATTCTTTTGTCGATCAAAAAGTTGAATTATTGAAAGTACATTTGGTTCCGTTGGTCCACATGAAATGTATTCATCTACCTCTTATTGTGGTTTCCCTGTGAACACTACCAGAAACCAGCCAGAAACAGTCTTGTATATGAATGTTCATTGTCAATGATGTTCAATTGAATCATTCGACAATAGTGATGTAGCATTGAAGTGTCGTTCACGAAATTAGTATTTTTCATCATTACTGAATCAATAATCAAATATGTTTAATACCTGCACATCTGAATAGCTTTCTTTAACTTTTAGGTAATTTTGAATCTTCCATAAACACTGTTTCGTAATGAAGTACTTCTGTATCTCAATCATAACTTCTTCATCATCGCTTGTATCCGAAGTATATATGATTTCGGAAATTATTGTTATAATAGTAATTCACTTCAATGAGACATTCTGTTGTGGATAGCGACATATCAAGATAGTCTTATAATTTTGATGACCCTGTGTTAATTACATTTTTGATTGATGTCAATATATTGTTTTTTAAAATAATTTTCGCTGCTGACATTAAAAGTCATTCAATTGATAAATAAAGTTATTCTTTCTCTTCAAATCCTCTACAACATTTAATGGCGACCGTGACAGGACTGTTAGAGGATCCCACTCCAGTGAAGAGAGAGCGTTTTTTCCTGAGAAAACTTTTCACCCAGAATTGTCAAGACTTAGACCATGAGTTATGTAGTAAGCAGATGAAGAAACAAGTTGTCATGACACTATTGAGCCAGTTAGAAGATAAAGCCTCAAGAATATTCGAACTAGATGAGATGATGAAGCCTTCGATAATGAGAATAGAAGACGAACACGAAATGGAGGAAGAATTCAG